ATGATATGGATGCTGCTTTTGAAACTAATGCCATATACAGCTATTTCAAAAAATGTTGTCCAGAAGAGCGGCGAACGGCTATTGTCGAAGGGAGATTTGCACGACAGATACGGACTATGGTTACGCTGTTTTGACAAACAAAATTCCACTTAATTTATTCAACTTACATATAAATGGAGTCTAAATGGAGCCAATGTTTGCCATAGACTATCTTACAGTACAAATCAGTTGTTATTGCCTTTAAACTAGCAAAACCCATGGCTACTTTCGGTCATGCAATCGCCGTTCGACAATTGACATTCGCCATTTTATCCGACAACCTTTTTTGAAATAGCTATATTCATTTCTAGTGGATTCAATCAAGAACAAAACGGTTGTCTTCGTTGAAGACCAGAAGGCCAGTCATAAATCATGCATACTAAGCGCCATGACTCAAAGACCACTGATTACATTAGAAGGCAGACCACATGACCTGCACAACATTCCTCTCTGCCGTAAAGTTGTCTCTATCTCTGCTGATTCAGATARTTACGAGCGCGCAACCAAGGAGATCATTACCAAGAACACGAAATGGCAAAAAAYTATTATTCTGTATGAATGTAAGTAAATAGGTTTTGTAAACTTAGGATGCTCTGGGAACGCCTTGTAGATTTTACAGTAGATTATTCACGGTTTTTTCTGCCATTTTGAATTGTAACTTTAGAAATCTGTAAATAATTGTCTGTGGCTGTGAACAAGGTTTCCATCAGTTGTCTCGCTTTGAGACTATACTGAAGAGTCTGGGAGCGCTTCTTTTTTAATCATTTATGACCCTCCCTCCCCCTTCCCTCCCCTCCCCTTCACCCCAACCTTGTCATGAAAGCACCATATTTGAGAGTGCAAAATTAATCCTTTTTATAATTGATGAAAGTAAAAAGAGCGTCGACATTTTGAATGAAATTTTTGTTATATATTTTTGTTTGATATTACTAGTGGACGAGGCAACGCACGTGGCGCATATCCAACTCCAACTAGCGAATGAATTGTCGAGAATTAGTCTTCTTCTAATGGAAAAGCAGGGWAATGAGACAGATGATCAGGTGGTTGAGAGGACCTGGAAAGACTTGATTTTTATGAAACCACATGCAGTCATTCCACTTGTGAATGATRTGTACCTGAAAAGACTTCTTCAGATGGTGCGTTGCATTTGCAAGTTATTTTGTGCCTGTTTTTGATGTTGCTGCTTTTGATTTGACGCACTGATGATTTTTTTTTCAAAAGTTGATATCACTCCAAAACTGAGAGGATAACTCCTCTTCTAGAGCAATCTTTAAACCCCTTTGGAGTAATTTTGACTCTCTTTCCGAGTTTCATGATTTAAACCTCCGGCAGGGGCGGATCCAGGATTTTTCAGAGAGGTGTGGCTAACATTAAAATTCAATATTAAAAGACGTTACAATTAATTTGACTCTTAAGGCTCATGTGAATTTATCCTTTATCGTTATCTCGGGCACACATATAATATTTCGGATATCAACAAAGCCTCATTATATTTTCCAAATAAAAGCCTAGCCACCCAATTCACCCCCTGGATCCGCCCCTGCACCGGAGTTAAAACTACTCGCATTGTAGAGTTATAGTTACTCCACCAAGTAAAGTAACTTTAACTCCATTGGTGGAGTTATTTCAACTCCTTGAAAAAATCCTGTGCGACTATTCCTGATTATTGCGGAAATCATTTAGAATCAGGCTTCCAAAGCATCTTTCATTGCCCACGATTACAAAATAGTAAAACGAGTGATGATTGACATCGCCATTTATTTGTTCTTGACATTTAGAAAACTTGTTCTTTGAAAGACCCTCTTACCTGGTTGATTCAAGGCAAGGTAGGAATAAATGATCAATACAATCTTTATGATCCTCATTTTGTGTGAATGATTATAATAAATTTTCTTCCGTTCTCAATGGTCGAGATTCGACTTTATAGTACGCCCTCGAGCTAAATTTTCGAGGATCTTTGTTTTTTCGGAAGATACAGTTTCCATAGGCAGCTATCACAGCATAATGCCCTCGAATCGAATTCTTTATTGTTTAAATAGAACCAGACTATTCCTCATAACAATTGTGCTCCGTCCAGTGAATGAGCACAGTGGAAAATGGCGGAAAACTCCATTTCCGAATTCGAGGCAAACAATAATCGCTGCTTTATTTGACAGCAGATCCCCTTGCGCAAATGTCGTTATTACGATAACCTTGAAAATTCGCATTTTCACCGAGTTGAGCCGACTAATCATGCATTTTCATGAGTCTTCTGGGAATATAGGGTTAGCCTCAACTCGTGGAAAATGTAAATTGTTAGTAAGAAAAATCTGCTGTCAAATAAAACAGCGGTTATTTGCTTTGAATTCGAAAATGGACTATTGCAAGATGTAATAGCGCACCATGTTTCCCTCTCTTCGCTTATAACAAGTTCTATTTTACAAGKTGAGACCAGCAAGTCATCCCTTAAAGAAGCTCAAACACCAAATGCTTAAACAGTAAATGCATTTGTACGACATTTCAAGTCATTCAGTGACAATTAGAACATCAAATAAAACTAGAAAAGAATGAACCTAATTATGATTTACTAGTACCGCGTACACCGT